GTGTTGTTAATGGTGTTGATGATGATTGGGGGGCTCATTTTGTTCTTGGGAGGCGGGGGTTCAGCAATTTTGTGCACATGTACTAGGAGCGGTCAGCAATTTTGTACATAGAAATATTAAAACTTATGCTTAAAAAGAATGGGAAGGTAGGGGGTCATTGATTTTGTACATGACATGCAGGGCGAGGTCACCTACTTTGTACATAAATTTTAGGGGGGGGGCGGGTGTGATTCACATTGTACATGATTCTCCATGAATATCATCAGCACCCAACCAACCACTCACAGCCCCGCACACACACCCCAACCCCCACCCTAGCCATAAGTTATGAACGGTCCCAAACTTCCTCTGGTAACTCTCTGAATGAGTTCATTCATAACGAGATGGCATGTAAGGTGAAGTAGATAAACCCCGGGACCAAGAGGTGGGGTAACAAACATGTGCAAAGAAGAAAGGCATATTGGTCAGATGAACTTCAATCCAAATGAAACAGTGTATGTGCAAATGAGAAGAAATGACTTCCTTGAAAAGGAAATACTCAACAAAAACGTCGGTTGAAGTCTACATATCTATGTGAGAGAAAAGAGAAAAGTCTTTGATGAACAGTTAAGGAAAGCCAAGCGTAAACTGCAGCTGGAACAACAAAGAGAACTGTTAAGCTTACACAACAGCTAGAATGGAAAAGATTTTTTGGAAGAAAATTGGTAGCCTTGGTCTTGCAAATGACAGAAGATCTTTTAATGTTATTCCAGTGGAAATGGAGTAACGTGATGGTAATATTGACTGTGAGGTTGATTCTGAGAGATTCGTACAGCACGCTCTGTAACCAGGAGGATAACGGTACTTTTGACCAGGATCACTATAACAGAGTGTGCGATTGCGTTTCTAACGGTACAGATCACATGCAAGTGGATACAAATGAACTCAACAAGCCTATCACGCACGAGGAGGTACATCAGGCAGTTTTACACACCAAGAAAGGCAAGGCTGTTGGTGTGGATGGTATACCAGGTCAGGTTTTGCAAAACTGAAATAATTAGTTACTGTTTTAATCATTCCGTCTCACCCACATAATGGAACCAAGGTCTCATATACCCAATTCCTAAGGATTCCTTTGTCATACCGTGGAATAACATTGATGTCTAGACCATGCAAAATATATGCCACTGTTTTGAACTCGAGACTCGTGAAATGGCTTGAAAATAACAACGTGCTGTGTGAAGAACAAAACAAATTCAGATCAGAACGGAACTGTATACATCATTAATATACATTACATAATCTGGTAAACAATAGAAAAGCAGCTGGATTATCTACACATGTGTGTTTTCTTGACCTTAAAAAAACATTTGACACTGTTGATCGGAATTGCTTATAGTATAAGCTTATGTCTATTGGTGTATATGGGAATATGCTCAATGCCGTTCAAGCGATGGGCATGTACCAAGATGTGACGTGTGCTGTACGTGTAAATGACCACGTTACTGACTCCTTCAATGCCTCAAAAGTTATGAAACAACGCTGTAGACTGTCTCCAACCCTCTTTTCAATTTACATAAACAACTCAGCAGCCGAATAAGAGATATGGACTGTGGTATACCTCTTGATGATGAATTGTTGACGACATAGCACTGTTAGCACCAAATGAAATATGCCTCCAGAAAATGATGGATACAGTTGGCAATTTGTGTTTTTAATGGCGTATTAGTATTAATAATGATAAAACAAAAGTTGTACATTTTAGAAAAAAATCTGTCTCCCAGTCTTATGAATTATGAATTATGTGATAATAACCCTGTCATGTATGACAGTATTTACCGTTATCGTGGCTTGTGTTTAAACGAGCATATGGACATGCATAAAACTGTTAAAGAGCTCTGTAAAGCGGCTAGTAGAGCTTTATATGCTCTGTTTACTAAGTTTATTTGTGCTGGTGGTATGTATCCCTGGCTGATTAAAGAGGATAACTGAATCTTGGAATACAGGAATCCATCAGTGGGTCCACAACACTTTATTCATGATTCAATATATATACAACTACACGATGTTGTAACAATGACTAGGCGGCATTGGGGAGGCGATGGTCAGCCAGTTTGCCTAGCCGCGGTCTCAGACTCAAGTCCTGACTAACACAAAGCTTCCTCGATTTATCCCTAAGGGTCGAATCCTGATCAGACTATCACGTGTCGCATTTGCGACAGATGTCTGGTCAGCTTGCAGTACCCCGCACCTCATCCACAATGCCATGCTTGGAACAGTGGCCAACCGGCCTTTGTCTAACTTTGATAAGGCAGCTAATGACTCTACGATGGTGGCCATGGCGACAATGGTCAAGCTGCGTTGATTTCATTTCTACTGACAGCAAGGTCATTATCGTGAGAGATATTCAATTTACATAACTCAGGGAATATATATAAATATCCCTGATAAACACTGTTCCAAAATGCCTACGATACATGTCATATGAAGTTTTTTACCAAATTGTATGAATCTTTGGTTGAACCGGTTTGATATTATGGTTCTAGCTTATGGAGAATGAACAATTACAGGGAAGTAGAGGTTGTACAAAATAGAGCATATAGAATGTTTCTTGGTGTAAGTAAGAATCCGCCGTTTATTATCGACATGGAATGGTTTTCAGTGTCTGTAAGACCAAAGGTAGAGGGTTTCAGATATTTATTAAGATTGAAATCTTTGCAGCAACATCGGCTGCCATATGCAATTCATCGATGGGCGAATGTGATTCCTTCCTCTTGGGATAATTTATGTTAATGAATATCGTCCGACAATATAACTGTGCCCATTTGTTAAATAATAACTGGGGAACAAAATCTTGTGTACAATATTTTAAAGAGGTTTTAATGCATGAGGACGTATTAAAATGGCACGCTAAGCTCTGGGATGATGACGGTAATGTCAATGAGTATAAGCTACGAACTTACAGAAAGTTTAAGGTCTCCCATGCTGTAGAATTTTATGTAAAAAATTTATCTTTCGAGACCATCGTCGTATTTTAGCTAGTTTAGGTGTGGAATTTTACCATTGTATTTTGAAACGGGTAGATATACCAAGCCTTCTATACCACTTGAAGAAAGGCTATGTAAATTTTGTAAAAATGCTTGTACATATTTTATTGAAGATGAATTTCACTTTTTGATTAGATGTAACCTTTTTATGGCAGCTGCAGAACGCAACCGCAATTTTAATCACCTTTGTGATGCAGATAAATTAATGAATATAATGAATAAATATATGAATTCCGATGTTTTACAAAAGGAATTAGCAAATGCACTTTATAAAATGTTTAAGAGACGTCAAATCGCGGAATAATGTTAATGTTATATATACAATTTATCTCTAACTTATGCTTTTTCCTGTTTGAATTTCATTTATTTTGATTATTTTAAGAATCTCCTGTTATTCTTTTTCGTTCTCTGTTGTTGGTATCAGGGTGTCATATTTACAATCTGCCTAAATTTCTATCTCCCATATTATATTCTATCATGTGTGTACCATTACTCGAGTTATATTGTATTTAAAGTGTCCCGTAAACCCACGTATGGCTGGACGCACTTCCTTTAAGCTGTTGTGTGTGATTCTGTATTTTAATGAAAATGTTGTGCGTTTGACACTTTATTAAACATTTTACTACTACTACTACTACTACTACTACTACTACTACTACTACTACTACTACTTTAACCACACACACACACACACACACACACACAGAGTTATAGCTAGAATATTGCTGAGTGAGGGGTTAACATCATACACACAGAAACGAAACTCTTGACATTGGATCCCATTGAATACACCTGCTCTGTCTTTTACCCTCTGTGGGTAATGCATACATATTAGCAAATTTGGTAGGACAACGCAATTGCCTTACGGGACACTTGTCCCGTTCAAGTTTCACAGCCGCTGACGAACAGGGCCTTGAAAATGGTTCGTTGTTCTGTTGAGATATTTGAATGTTTAGCTATTTCTAGCCATAACTGATCATACATGCATGCGCCGAAGTAGATCACTCTGTCACGTGGTCATGCATAGATAGTGATCGCGCGATGGCCTCTATGTATTCGGCCATGTACGTCTTACGTCAACAGGCGAACAAAGGACACGACACAGCTTAGACATGTTTGTGTCTGCCAGAAGAAAAAGTAACAATGAACTGTTGCTCATAGTTTTTATTTACCAACAGGAGGGTTTGGTAGCGAGGCGAAAATCTAGAAGAAGAAAAACATTGATAGTAGTGTTCAAAATGCCATCATAAGTATTGAATACCCGACTTTGCATGCTGAAGGATCAGAAAAATAACTTGTCACCAGTTGAAGCGCCCCCTGTGACACTGAAAGCGGCGTAAAACCATACTCACTCACTCACTCTCACTTTTCTCTACGAGTAGCGCAGGGTGCGAACAAACACACTGAGTGATATTATGTTTTATTGTTTTAAATCTTGTATTTAAATCTTGTATTACGGAATTGTTTGTACCAAGACTGATCTCAAAATTGTCGGTATGATCTTGTTCATCTTCTAGTTTAAACACTGACATGGTTCGTTTTCAAAAAAAATCAAAGAAGGTGAAAATGGTTCCTTGTTCGGAGTGCGATGATGACCTACCTGCTTGTACCTGGTGACGAATTCCGCGAGGCTGACGGCGCCATCACCTGAAAAGATGATGACAGGGGTTTGTATCTGTATTTGTGACGGATTGTATGTGTGTGTGTGTGTGTGTGTGTGTGTGTTGTGTGTGTGTGTGTGTGTGTGTGTGTGTCTGTGTGTCTCTCTCTCTCTCTCTCTCTCTCTCTCTCTCTCTCTCTCTCTCTCTCTCTCTCTCTCTCTCTCTCTCTCTCTCTCTCTCTCTCTCTCTCTCTCTCTCTCTCTCTCTCTCTCTCTCTCTCTCTCTCTCTCTCTCTCTCTCTCTCTCGGATGGGTTGCTGAAGACCTGTTCACCGCGACGGCACGTGTTCATAGTCTAGGTGAAGGTTCATTACCGTCGGTGTCGAACGCGGGGATGACGTTGTTTACATCGGTCCTCAGCACGAAACCGTCGTGGTCGGAGTCAATATTCTTGAAAACCGCTTGGGCAACGGATTTCGGTGCGTTAGTACCAGCTATGTATTCTGCCATTGTCATCTTGCCATCATCTGAAATTGAAAGACGTATTTTATGTAATGATATTCAATAACCAAAGAATCCACTGTGCCATGATTGTTATGTAATTTGGTTCCAAATCAAAATAGCCTGGTTTCAGTTTTTTGACGAGCGTGTACTGACATACTTTCCAGGTTGCCATTTAGGAATTTGGGTGCATGGGTACTAATAGATTGGACGGCTCTCGACGATGTCTACCCGAGTTCGATTCCCCACATGGGTACAATGTGTAAAACCTATTTCTGGTGTCCCTCGCAGTGATTTTGCTGGAATATTGCTAAAAGCGGCGTACAACTAGACTCACTCACTCATCAACACACACCGTGACGTCCTGGGGGATGACCAGGTTTCCAATTTTTCGTTTGTCTCCCCTCGATGGGGAGAGTGACAAATTGGGCCTTAAGCATTGCTTGCAAGAGTGACAGTATATGATACCGAGATTGTCTGTGTATTGTGAAAACCATATGTTTTGGAACAATGAATTGTAAATTATAAATCGTCAAAAGATGTTCTGAATGAAACCTACGGTTGAGATCATAATGGTCAAAAACTTTCAGAAATTCTGAAACATCAGCAGTGCCGCTTCCATCACTATCGATTCTGCTGAAGGCTTGCTTGAAAGTTGTCGCCATGTCCGGTGCACCTCTAAAAGAAATAAAACAGTAAACAGCATAATTAGGATACTGACACCTACATGGACAGTAAACAACACGCGACTGACACCTGCATGGGCAGTAAACAACACGTTTACAATACTGACACCTACATGGACAGTAAACAACACTTTTAGAATAAGCATGTTACTGACATATTATATTATAATTCATTATCCATAAATATCGGAGGGGAAACTTTGAGTAAAAATGGTTTAAATATCTGTTATAGATCAAAACATTTCACATCAATGATGAGGGGTGACATATGTAGGCTTGATTACCAACAAAAGCACCGTCCTCAACATACTTTAGGAGCAGCCCATTAATAAAGACTATCATTAATAATGATTCCCATCGACGATATTTCCAGCTATCGATTTTGAGCCAGTTCTAGTCTTCTCACATAATTGTAACTTACGTTGGGGCGCTTAGAGCACCGTAAGCGAAAGTCAGCACAAGAAGGCAAATCATCCTGGAAACCAAAGAAATAGAAAGTAGGCAAAACTAATGTTTCTTTGAAACACAATCAAATGTATCTATTTTCAAAAGTTTCATATTTCTAACAATAAAAATTAACCAAAAATAGATGAGTGTTGTGTGAGTTTGACGTTTGACGTTTGAGGAAAGTTAACAACGATTGTGAATCTCCCGATATGTTGCAGACAAACCTTGAAACATAAGGAGGGAAAGTACAGGATTCGAACCAACGGTTATAGGATTCTTGCACGCCAAAGGGAAATAACTTCGCATGACGCACTGGCGGCACGTCCACCGTATATGTAAAGCTGCTTACAGAACGGTAGCGTTGACTTACGTATGTATGTATGTTAATGTTAAGACATCGATGCAAATTTGTCCACTTAAATAAATCCACTTAACAGGTTCATTCAAGATGCGTCCATATTCACTTAATAAAAAGAATGCAGTGGCATTTAAAGATCATGGATGATGTACTAAATGTACAATATTAAAATGATATGAATGAAATATTAAAACAGCAAGATTATATTGTGAAAAATGCAAGTTTCCGAACAATAAACAACATAAAAACATAATTAGCATTTCTTTTCAAAAGGCAATGGTAACCTTTGTATAGTATAAATTCAAACACTGTTAAACATTAAAACATCTGTGACCTTTTCTCTGGATATGATCATGATGCCAATTTGATGTACCTGACGTATATATGCATGTTAACACATAGATGTAATTTGGCATTTGGTAAATTCGAGGTATCCGTTTAGTTATAATTACATTTCAATCTTTTTTGTGGCAATTAAATCCACTTAACAGGTTCGGCCAAGACGTGACCATATCCATAAATAAAAAGAATGTATAGTCTGTTAGCAGTGAAAACTTGCCGATGAATTTCACTTTAAGGTAAAATTATGAGGATTTGCAATCATAATTTCACTTTACTTTTTTGTTTAAAGTGAAATTCATCAGTACGTTTTCACTGCAAACAGACTATAGTGGCATTTAGGGATCAGGTACTAAATGTAAAATAATTAAAATAAATGTTATCATTCTGCAACTAAACAGCAAGGATCCAAGCTCCCGAACAACAGCATAAAAACATAAGCGCATTTCAGTATCAAACGCCACTGACAGCCTTTGTATTGTATGCGTTCAACACTGTTAAAAATTGAAACAACTGTGACCGTTTCTCTGGATTTGACTTACCTTACGTAACGTGCAACAGAACTGCAACAAGAACAAAGAAATGCAGGTGCTGTTATTAACCTATCCTAAACACGACCCTGCCATGTGACCACGATAAGATGAAAAAATCTTAAAAAGACAAACTGCCATCTCCCATAACTAAAGTACACTACGCACATGTGATTCTTAACAGAGTATCTGAGTGAGTGAGTTTTCTTTTAAGCCGCACTCAGCAATATTCAAGCTATATGGCGGCGATAGAGTATCTGAGGAATATATCACAAGATTTATATTTACCTCGAGATGGATGCGAGTATTATCGCCATATTGGTGATAAATATGGATCTTAATTTAAAAATATTAATAATGGTTCAAATATTTGATATGCCTTCTTCTCTGTGTCAAAACAAATGTTATCAAAGCCAATAACTGAAGAGCAATATAAAGTCTTAGAATAAAATTACTACATTTCTATCTGGTGAGACAGATAACATCATTCCAACGTCTCATCATTCCAACGCTATGTGTCATCATTCTGGCAGAGAGGATGTTACTCATAGTACAGATGTTGGGATACGTCCCCACAAGTCAGCTAGTCTGCAACCGTGTGTCATGTTGGCAGAGGGGCTTTAACTCGTAGTACATATGTTGGGATACGTCCCCACAAGTCAGCTAGTCTGCAACTGTGTGTCATGTTGGCAGAGAGGCTTTTACTCGTAGTACAGATGTTGGGATACGTCCCCACAAGTCAGCCAGTCTGCAACCGTGTGTCATGTTGGCAGAGAGGCTTTAACTCGTAGTAAAGATATTGGGATACGTCCCCACAAGTCAGCTAGTCTGCAACTGTATGTCATGTTGGCAGAGAGGCTTTAACTCGTAGTACAGATGCTGGGATACGTCCCCACAAGTCAGCTAGTCTGCAACTGTGTGTCATGTTGGCAGAGAGGCTTTAACTCGTAGTACAGATGTTGGGATACGTCCCCACAAGTCAGCCAGTCTGCAACCGTGTGTCATGTTGGCAGAGAGGCTTTAACTCGTAGTAAAGATGCTGGGATACGTCCCCACAAGTCAGCTAGACTGCAACTGTATGTCATGTTGGCAGAGAGGCTTAACTCATAGTACAGATGTTGGGATACGTCCCAACAAGTCAACTAGACTGCAACTGTGTGTAATCATGCTGGCAGGGATAATGTTACTCTTAGTGCAGATGTTGGGATACGTCCCCACAAGTCAGCTATACGCCGAAGTAGACTGTAGATCGTGATCGTGCGCTGTCTTCTATGCATTCGGCCATTTACGTCTTACGCCTACAGGTGGACAATGGACACGACACAGCTTAGACATATTTTTGTCTGCCAGAAGAAAAAGTAACAATGTACTGTTTCTCATAGTTTTTATTTACCAACAGGAAGGTTTTGTAGCGAGGCGAAAATCTAGAAGAAGAAAAAAATGATTAAAAATGAATCATTTGTGTTCAAATTGTGCTCACAAATATTGAATACTTGAATTTGCATGTTGAAGGATCAGAAAAATAACGTGTCATTATTCGAAAAGATTAGGTCTTTTGGTATGGGTGCGTGCGTGCGTGCGTGCGTGCGTGCGTGCGTGCGTGCGTTTGTATGATACAGTCTTTCCGTATTTCTAGTGGATGACGTTTTTTAAGATGACGTTGCGGAGCGCTGCAACTTCTCTGTAGGGCGTTATAGTACGTTTCGGGAACTATTAGCGGCGGTGAGGTAGCCTAATGGTTAAAGCACCCGCTCGTCACGCTGAAGACCCTGGTTCGATTCCCTACACGGGTATAACGTATTAAGCCCATTCCTGTTCTCCCCCGCTGTGATATTCCTGGTATTGCTAAAAGCGGCGTAAAACCGTACTCACTCACCCACCCGCTTGTCTCTACTTGTAGCACAGGGTCCGAACAAACAGTGATCAGTGATCATCTTGTGTCACGGCATTGCTTGTACTTAGACTGACTTCAAAATTGTTAGCATGAACTTATTCATTTTCAAGCTTAAACACTCATTTGTTTTGTTTGTAATTTTGTTCAAAAATGGTCAAAATGCCTTCTTGTTGGGAGAGCGATGGTGACCTACCTGCTGATATTTGGTGACGAATTCCGCGAGACTGACGGCGCCATCACCTGAAAAGATCATGACATGGGTTTGTTTGGGTTTTTAATTTGTAAATCTGTTGCTGGTGTGTGTGTGTGTGTGTGCGTGTGCGTGCGTGCGTGCGTGCGTGCGTGCGTGCGTGTATGTGTGGCATAACCTAATGGCCTGCTCGCAAGGCTAGGGTTACATTATGTCCCCGGCGGCCACGAGACAAAACGGGATGGACGTGAGACAACGTGGGGGTACTGAATGAGCAAACGTGTCAGTCCGTGATTGCCGTGGATGTCGTGCTAGATTTTTAAACTGTTCAAAAATTTGCCACGGCAGTTACGGTACTAACATGAGAAACCTGGTAGACCGTAGTAAAACGGGGAAAACGCCACAAAACGTGACAGCACGTAATAGGCCGTAACAAAACTTGTAGACGGTCCGTAGTGGGTCTGCAGTGGGACGGGGGGCATGTGTATTCCCCGGCATCTCACGGTTCCTTCAAGTTTTGTCACGTTCGGCCACGTTTGTTTGGCGTTTTGTCCCGGTTGTTTCACCCTTGCTGTCCGTTTTGTCCCGGTTCTCACGGCAAGCTAGGTTGTATGGTAGCCGATTCGTCCCGTTCTATCACAACGCATCCAGGCGTGTGGCGGTTTACAGGACAGGCGAAATACGGCACGTTGCGTTCTCTGGCATTTCCTCTCTGCAGCTGATGATCGCCTTCTTCCTGCAGCTGATGATCGCCTTCTTCCTGACGCAAGGACTCGATGTATGCACCCAGCAAACATACAAACACAATATCTTCTCCATCTTGAGGGTTCATGCTGCTCTTCTGTCTCGGGGTACAATGGCTGCTATTGCTTGGGACGCCTTATTTTTATACCGTGGGCACAAACGTGGTCCAAAGCTGGGCGGCGTCCGCGGTTCATCCGTAGAATACCTTGTCAAATCCTTGATCAAAACGTGGGAAATGTGAGGGAACCCATCAGAACGTGACAGGCTGGGAGGTTTTTGATTGTTAAAATCTTGATGATGACAAATGATGATCACTTTTCATTAAAATCATTCTCTCAACCTTTTAGTTGTGTGTTGTTATGTCTCTTAAGTGGATTAGTCCATTGTGTGGAATAGGTAACAGGCAGTGGATTAACAGTGCAACAGACCGTAAACTATGTTGTTATAAGCTGTAGGGGTAGTGGCATGTAGGGGTAATGGGGGGTTACCGGCTGGGAGGAAACGTAATGACATCCGTAGTGAACTTCTGGCCGAACCGTAGTGTGCTTTTGCGCTTCCGGGATTCAGCGGCCCGTTTTTCCCAACGGCCAATCACGGATACCGTGACAGACCGTGAGAAAACTTTACAGGACCTAACAAAACTTGACTTTGGAGGGGAAAAAATGGCCAAAATCCCAAGGCGCACTACGCTTCGGGGAAACGGGGCTGACGTGGCCGCCGGGGGCATAGTGTAACCCTAGCATAACGCTGATGATCCGACTTCGATAGGGCATCATTTTTTTAATGTGTTTCACGTAGCCACCAAATTCGGTCGGCAGGGGAATAAACGAGATAAGGAAAAAATCATCTGAATAATGTTCTTGATCAAATATTGTAATTCTTAATACAATTTCTCGATCTGACCACCCGATCTCGTATGTCGCATCTCATGACAAGCATGGGTTGCTGAAGACCTGTTCACCGAGAGGGTACGTGTTCATAGTCAAGGTCAAGGTTCATTACCGTCGGTGTCGAATGCGGGGATGACGTTGTTTACTAAGGCCCTCTGGAGAACACCGTCGTGGTCGGGGTCAAGAGGCTTGAAAACTGCTTGAGCAGTGTATTTCGGTACCTTATTAACGCTCATATACTCGGCCAATGTCATCTTTCCATCATCTGAAATTAAAAGACATAATTTAATCAATGATATTCAATAACAACAGATTATAAATATCTAAAGCTATGCCGTGAGTGTTATGCAGTTTGGTTCTAAAACAAAATGGCCTGGTTTGAAGTCCAATTTTGTGAAGAGCGTATACTAATATATTTTCCGGGTATTCATGAAGGAATGTTGGTGCACGAGTACCAATGAAATGGATTTCTCGGTAAACTTCCGTCTACAGTGCAACTTTTTTAATGTGGATCCTATCATTCTGGAATATCAGCTTCCCTAAAGATTGATGTTGGGAGCATACCACGTGACATTGAACAAATGTGCGAGGCGGCAGACCTGATATGTGTGTCATCCTGATTTCACAGAAGACGACATTGTCCAGATAAGCAGGGTTTCACTATGTTAGCTGTTCATTAAAATTGACATAGATCGTCTCCATTCAATACTTGAGGTTCGTTTAAATCAACGAATGCAATAAACCTTTACATGTACATATTACACAGTAGAATTGAGGCGGTACATTCTCACTCTCGATGGCACACCCTCCCGACGATGTCATTCTAAATCAACGAATGCAATAAACCTTTCCATGTATATATTGCACAGTAGAATTGTGGCGGTACATTCTCACTCTCGATGGCACACCCTCTCGACGATGTCATTCTAAATCAACGAATGCAATAAACCTTTCCATGTATATATTGCACAGTAGAATTGTGGCGGTACATTCTCTCTCTCGATGGCACACCCTCCCGACGATGTCATTTTAAATCAACGAATGCAATAAACCTTTCCATGTATATATTGCACAGTAGTATATGATACAGAGACTTTCTTTTGTATTATAAAAATCATGTTTTGGAACTATTATAAGTCCTATATTATAAATTATAAAGATATTCTGAACGAAACCTACGGTTGAGATCACACTTGTCAAAAACCTTCAGGAATTCTGACACATCAAGAGTGCCGCTTCCATCACTATCGATTCTGTTGAAGGCTTGCGTGAGGCCGATCGACATGTCCGGCGCAGTTCTAAAAGAAATTAAACAATGAACAGCGGAAATAGGAT